GTGTGTACACGTAAACACACTTTATCGAAGAGAGGAGCGTGTCGTGAAGAGAAAGAGATCATCTCGCGGGGGTCGCAAAAAAAAAAAAAAAAAAAAAAAAAGACAGAAAAAGTGCTTCTTCTTTCTCTACGTAACTTGTGCAACGTTAAGTTATTAGTACTCTCAATACGTTGATATATTAAAAAAACTGGGAGATATATATTATGTAGAATGTGATTTATGGTTCAATTAAACGATCAATTAACATATATTGTTCTTTTGGATACATAACTATCGTTTATTACCGCGATTATAATTTTATGAATATGAAACCTATAAGATGATAGATAATAGAATGCGATAAATACATATTATCTATCCACATCGTGTATGTGACTATCGTTACTTTGATTCCAACTTGGTAAATGATGCTGTTAATTTCCCGTCACGCAAAGCATCATTGTCTATTAATCTTTCTCGTCCTACCGTCGGTCGTTTATATATCTAATGTTGCTTTATGATTTAACATACAACGTCATCGAGAGAACGCGTTCTCTGACGAAATCGCGACAAGATCGGCGGGTGATCGGTTTGTTGTATTAAGGATTATCTGGAACGATTCATTTACGTGATCTCTAATAATAATAGCGCGGCGTAGAGCGCACGTTGCCAAGAGATAGACCAGAGATAAAAATGATTCGGAAAGATGTTTATCTTCACACATGGAACTTACACAATTTCGCGCGCCGCGCCGTAGTAATCGCACGTACATATATATGCATTAGCCAACTCCGTCAAATATGGCTTTCTATTCTTGTAAAAAGAATTCCCGCCTCTTCAACGGCGTCTAATGCTGAAATCAATTCGAGCAGACGATGAGATTTTTATTTTAATTTGGTTCTGATGAAAAAAGCGATTTTTACTCACAACATATATCTACATATTTTTTTTTTTTTTATAATAAAAAGTAAACAAGTTGGAATTACGTAGTTTCACATTTTATATTTTGCGCGTATCATTCTACGAATAAATTTCGTCAATTACACGCGAGTCAATCACTTTCGTATTCAGTAAAATCTACAAAATCGATAATAGATTCAAAATACAACGTCGGACACGAAAAAAAATTTGACACGCGCAATCTTCAACAATTCGGCGCACAAGAAAGAAAGTGGTCTCCAGATTACAATAGTTCTTGCCCGACAGTTCCATTTTCGAAACACTTGGCGTAATTGTGAGTTGCTCTCTCTCTCTCTCTCTCTCTCTGTCTCTCTCGACGAGAGAAAAGAAAAAGCCGCGCTAGACCAGATGGGTTAATATCAAGAAAAGAGTCACCGGACGCGCGTGTCCGGACTGTACGTAGAACTGTACGCCGCCGGTGAGCGTCTGTTTCTGGTCCAGCGAGCACGATTTGCCGCGCGATAATTAGCAGCGCGCCGAACATACAAGCACAGAGAGACTTCGCGCAATCAGATTGCCCATCGCGGACCACACTCTCTTTCGAACAAGCGAATATTCCGCGAACGTCGCGCGATTATCTCGACCGGTGAATCATCGTTGCTTTTCCCGCCAACGAGGTCGTCGTTTCCACGCAACATCCCCTTTCCGTTCCGTATGAAGCGTCGTTGAATGTCGCGTATAGTTATAGCACGGCGCGAGAGAATCCCGCGACCTCGAGATCTCGATCTTGAGAAACGATCGGGTGGCCAGGTGTCAAGATTACCGTCGCGCGACGAAGAGATGATGGGAGAACTACTACGGCGGCGGTCGTCCGGACAGAGATTTTCGTAGGCGATGGTGATGGCGATAGTGGCGGCGGCGGCGATGGCTAGGCACGAAAGTCTGGTGTTGTGAACCAGAAGAAGAACACGCGCGCGGGAAGGAGAGGCGGAAGGGCGGGGGGTCCCCGGTTGTGAAGAAAGGCAGGAGCTATAAAAGAGCTGGCAGACCCAACGATGGGCATCAAACACCTCCGACATGAAGGTAAGTAGAAACGAGACGAGACCAACGCATATACATCGCGTAATAATAATAATAATTTTACATAGATCAAATATAATCTCTCTCAAAGCACGCTCTCTTGCGCGGGTCGATCGTGCAATTATTAAGGTTCTCAAGCCTGATTGTTCTCTCGTTACAGGTGTTCGCAGTCACACTCGTGCTGGCGCTCGTCGCTACCGCATACGGTGAGTAACAACGGGGAGCTTACGAGCAAGTGGATTATGGGAGTCTTGCGTGTTCGCGTTTCGAGCTATCTCGATATGTCAAAGGTGAAAACGTGATGCGGTTGCGACTGATTGCGTACGCGCGAATTCATTAAATCACAAGTGCAAAAAATTCTGTGTTATTTCAAGTAACGATATAGTTTTTTTTTTTTTTTTTCTGTATACTTTTGTAAAAATGAAGTGACGGCACATAGACTTTTCGAAACTGTGTACACTAAAATTTTCCAACAGCTCTATGTGTCATATGTGTGCGTGCATAAAAAAATTTTTATTTCTTCTGTAAGATGCAAAACATAATTGTAATTTTAATTCTTCGTTGTCTGGTTCGGCGGTTCACTTAATTACTGCAAATTAATTAATCGAGCTATAATTGTTACGACATTTACGACTCGAAGTTGTAAGCTACGCAGTAGTAATCACTTGAAGCGGAGTCTTACATACACAACGCGTACACATCGATATATATTTCACAAATTTTATATATTTCTTCATTAAGTTGTTTGTCCGCACGTTTGAGTCTTCGCGCAATTATTATTTAATCAGTCTGACGCTATTAAACGAATTTGTAAGATTTAATCTCCGAGACCAATTTGTAACTTACCTTCCTGCCCTTTGAGAGCGACTTGCGCAATCGCAGCCGGTCTTCTTGTAAGCAATCATGTCGATCCGAAGGAAAATACCTCGTGGCAATTTGCGGACCGACATGAGCGCGCGCCACCATTTGGTACCGCGCTCGCGATCGCACGAAGAAAGTCGATAAATCGCGGATCGTGCTAACACGCGCGTATACCCGCCTCTCTATAAGTTACGACTGATTATATAAGCGCCGACAAAAGCTCGGAATTCTCAAGCGCGATAAAAAACAAAACGTAAAACGATCGAATTGCTCGCAATCTAAAACTTTATTATTTACAGGTGGTTACATAAGTAGCGGCGGCGGAGGTGGATATGGCGGAGGTGGTGGTTGGAGCGGCGGCGGTGGTGGTGGCGGATGGAAGTTTGGCGGTGGCGGAGGCGGTATGTAGAAAAATACAAACATTTATATTCATCCATTGTAAAAAAAAATCCACTCTGTCTAGATAGCTGTTTCTATTATACAATTATTTGGAATTAATTCCGATAAAAATGGTCTGATTGATCACAAAAAAACAAAAAAAAAAAAACAAAAAAAAAAACAATAAAAGAGCAATATTATTTCAATCGATTCTAAAACAATTACATAATAGCTATTCTGCTTTTCGTGCGCTCAAAGTTTATTTAAACGCATAGAGATAGCGTATTTATTTCCCGCTAAGATTAAGATGTTATTATATATACGAAAAAAAATTACGCAAAAATCTTACAGGTGGTTACGGAGGCGGTGGTGGCGGCGGTGGCGGAAAGATTATCAAAATAATCACGCTCAGCAGTGGCGGCAGCGGGGGATACGGAGGCGGCGGCGGCGGATGGAAGTCAGGCGGCGGTGGTGGTGGATGGAGCGGCGGCGGTGGTGGCTGGAGCGGCGGTGGCGGTGGCGGTGGATGGAAGTTAGGCGGTGGAAGTGGCGGATTCGGCGGTAGTGGATGGAAATCAGGCGGTGGTGGAGGTGGCGGTTGGAGCGGTGGCGGAGGTGAGATATTATTTGTTTATTTATTTTTTTTTGTAGTGAGAAGTCACGCAAGTACAATAATTAAAACTTAAAGTAACTCATAGTTCAAAAATTGAAAACACAAGTACGCGAATTATATTAATCAAAAAATATATATATATATATTTTTAGATTTTTTTAATTATTAAAATATAAATATAATTTTATACGGTTAATAAAAATCGCCCTTATTTCTCGGCAAAAGAACACTGTCAGAGAGATAAGCCGCGTAAATTAATTTTCTTTTTTTTGGAAATTTATTGCCGTGTAATTTCCATTCTTTTTCCATTATCACTACGCCATCACAATTTGGCACACATTAACACGTTTACCGCATGAATTAACTTTCAGGTGGATGGTGGTAACGTTCATGCCGCTCACGAACAACTGGGGAGCAAAACTTGCTCGCTGATCATCCACGAGTATCTTGACCGTAACCATCGATCGTCGTCGATCAGAAAAATCAATTCGCGCCAATTTCTTTTCCGTCCTACGATTCTCGTTGAAGACTGCCATCGGAAAAACAAATCGAATTAACAGTAAATTCGCGTGTTGCGTCGAAAAACTTTCTATCACCAAATAATTTCCTAATACTTTCCGTATATATTTTCAAATAAATCCGCAACAGAAAAAGCCGGAGACACATATAAAACACTTTCTTTGTTGCTTTTACTCTTTGCTATCAAGTATATCTCTTGAAAACAATGAACGATATTGTTGCCTCTCGCTTCCGGCTATTCGAATTTGCCGCCATGTCGTTTAAGGCGAAACGACTTCTTTCTCGACGGCACATTTTCCTCTTCTTACCACCTGCCGCTCGCCTCCTTCTCGCAATTCAGAAAATCGGCGAACGTTCCGAGCGAATCATGCGCCCTGATATTTCAATTCCACTCCCTCGCACGATCTTCCTTCCGCCCTCCTCATCTTCCATTTACTTCTTTCTTTTCGTGCTCTCTTTCGAGGATCAGGAGAGCGAGGCGCGTCTCTCCGGCATGACATTTAGCTCATTTAAAAAGCGCAGAATCCTGAAGGATTGCTACAGCTGTCTTGGGAGCAATTGGAAAGAAGAATATCGAAGGAATAAAATTACACTTGACAAAAAAAGCGCAGTGATGACCGCACTTTTCCTTTTCTTTCTACTGTATAGATCACATTCAACTCAAAACGAACCACAATAAACGAATCATATTGATATAATAATTATGTGTTATTTTTTCTTTCGTTATTATGTCCCCAAATGTTGAATTTCTTTATCTTTACTCTCTCACCATGCAAGAAATTGAAATATTTCTGTAATTGTGCGCACACACATCCGGAAAAAAAAATCCGAAAATCCAATCGATTTAGCTCGTCGATACCCTCGTCGATTTATGTATGTATTCGCGGCGATCTTACATAACCGGGATGAAATTAAAACCGTAAACACCCGGCGGGCCCGCCAACAGTAGGGAGATATTGCCAAACGTACGGATTTACTATCGACGTTTGCTGTTTGCGATATTGCGCGATCACATAAATATCGCGCTTTTCAGCTGCGCTTTTTCAACCGCCGCGAAAATGTACAGAGAATTACTTTTGGTAAATGCTCGCGATCGTACAAAAAACGACGATGCATAAACCTTTGACTCGTTGATCTTTAGACCGCCGGGATTTTAAAATCCAAAATTATTGAGTAGTTAAGTAAATCATAGTTCCCTCATAAAGCCCTATAGTAATCTATATATATATATATATATATATGTCTAATATATATTGCCACATATATTCAATATGTACGAGTCATACCGGCGGCGTACGAGAGCGAAAAATAAAAACAGGTTTTAATTAACAAAATAAATATTTTTGGAGATTTTTGATGATGCTGATTAAATGTTTTTGATCAAAATCACGAAAATCTGTACGTATGTACATATATACATGTATATATACATATATATGCACATATATGTTAAAAATAATGTTTTAGTTTTTTAGTTCTTTAATTTCTTAAATTTTAGGTTTTTATTTATTTATTTTTTGGTATTTTTATTTTTTATGTGTGTATGTATTTATATTTTTTATTTACTGCATTATACTATTATTTACCAATATATATTACTAAACAATTTTGTTCATATCGAAATAGATATATATTATTCCGAAAAGAAACTCGCATTAATATATAGATATGCATGCATATAAGCACATAAATTTTAAAGTAAATTACACGTGTACACAAACAAAAATCCAAAAACTCTACACTTTATTTAATGACGTCAAAAGGCGTCATACCGACGGTCTAAAGGTTAATGTATGTACACTGGCCGTGCAATGTCGGCTGGTTTCTTTTATGCTTACCTTTATGCAATACTTTTTAGACTTTACAGGTTTTGTTTTAATATCAAAATGGTATGAACGATAATCGATGGATGTCAGTGACAATTTTACTTATGGCGTAATAGACGGCGGCGTAAAATTTTATCGTTGTTTTTTTAATCGATACAGTTTTCTTAAATCTTGAACAAATATATTTGCAGGTATTTGTTTTAGCTTTGCGACATATCCGTGTGCATTATAATTTTAAGATCTTCTTTACATATAATTTCACGTTGTTATTATTATACGCTGTTATCAGATAAAAACAGTCACATTTAATTCGAACACTGGAAATAAATAGGACTGGCCTAATTAAGAAGCCGCGTAATGAGCGGCAAGTTTACATTGTGGAACAACATGCCGGGATAAGCATCCAGAGACATACATACGCAATTAGTTTTCTCTGTAACATTTACGTGACTTTTACACGCAGCAGCTATACGCGAGCAATATCATAGCAGTAATTTCACATTCTACTCTCGTATTAAAAACAAAAAAAAAACGATTTGCCGTTTAACATTGGTACCGTAAATTACAACATCATCCTTTCGCGCTGATCACCCTCAGCGCTGAAATGATTATATCGTCATAATTGCACGTGCTATCAAATTTATTTTTCATTTTCTCGCTCTCTTCCACTCTCTGTCTATCTCTCTCTCTATTTAGTTTTCTATGAAATTGTTATCCGCGAGAGAATTGTTTCTCGTTGCTCCTTAATGACTACGTCAGCTTCATGCTTCAATGACTGGAATATTCTTATGCATTATTGCCGAGACTAGACGGCGTTGGCCTTTCAGTGTGGAAGGATTTACCTGCATAATGACTGTCTTAAGTTCTTATTCCAATATAAGATAATCCGATCCAAGAGAAGGATTATCATTGTTAACGTGGCCAGGATATTTAATTTCTTTTGTTGTTGTATTTATTAAATTCTAAATGCTCTTTGTACATCATACTTTTCTATATTGTGCCAGAGAGAAACGAGAAGAAAAAAGAATTTAACATTATATTGTAATGCAATTTAATTGTTGCATTTTCACTTTTTCGATGTCGTGAAACTTGAATCGCGCAATAATTGTTTTTCAGCGATTATTAATCGAATAATGCGATTGAAGAGAATTAGGAAGCATTATCATTATTGATAAGCGAACTCGAAGCAAAAGAAGATGCACAAATCGACGACTATGAATATCTCTTTAAGGTCAGCGGCCGGTATTCGCGCTTCTAGTGCTTTTCGGTTGAACTTTAATGCGTCCTATCCCCTATTATTCCCTATTCCCGTTGGCCGCAGCAGTTCTCCCGAGGCAACCACCGAATAGAGCGTGCTTGCCGCTAATTGGATCCTTCAGATCTACGCTTTGATTAATTATGATGAAACGCGCGCGCTCACGTTCGTCTTCGGTGGAATCGCGAGAGAGTCGTTCTCGCGCGAGCTCGCCAATATTATTTTTTTATTCGCGGTCTGACAGCACGATTCTTTTGCAATTCAAGCTCATTGCGAGCTTTTCTCGATCCCCCATTGCCACCTCGGCTTGCAAGCGGAACAAAGAAACGATTCTCGACCTCTTGAAAACCTAGTCTTTCCCGTTTCGTATTATTTAGTTAAATATTTCAAAGCTCGATTTAAACAAGGTGTCCTACTTTTCATGTTATGCGATTGCGTGTCGAGTTACACTGAATTATTATCTGCAACCGTAAAATTCGGATTTTCACGATTTCAACAAGTAAAAAGATCACGTTTTTTGAGACAAATGATATATATCCTGTATGTTAACAAATATAAAATTTTTATACGACAAAAAGATATATATGTATATATTCTGATTATTATTTGTTTTTAATTTAAAAAATATGCAATTTTAAAATCTTACCGGAATAAAAGTTTATGAAAAAACAACGTTTACTTTTTATAATTTTCACAGCATGTGAAACAAATAAAAATATTAATAAAAATAAGACAGAGATAATGTGAGATAATGTAAATGTAACAAGATATCATTGTGACGTTTTCACTGATCTCCGATTCGGCCAATCATGACGACGTTTAGCAATCGTTATATTAACGACATGTTCGACGTTCATTCGGCCAGTTGGCCAATTACATTTAGTGTCAAGGGTCTTCAACGTAGACTGCCGAGCTACATCATATAGGACCATAAATTTATCGGACGCCGACGGTCTGCGCGCGTAACATTCGGCTGACGTCAAATTATTCGAGGAGGTAATAATCAGGCGTCGATGATGCCGGAAACAATGCCCGTCGAAATTGTCGTTCTCTTTTCACATACGATATTTCAATGCTAAACTATTCAACATATCTCAAAATGATATTTCAACGAAAAAGATATTACCAGATATTTTTTCAAGATTTTTAAAAAGTGCTCCACTTTCAAAGCTATTTTTTCAAGATTTAAAAAAAAATACTCTACTCTTTGCGAATAATTATAAAAACAGATATAAATATTAAAAAATATATTGAACGTTACTTTTCGCAAATAAATATTATTCGGTTTGTAAATTTTTTTTTGTTTTGTTTTTGTTTCAAATACGCTTTGTGTTTTGCACTTAAGATAAAAGAAGTGCACATTTTACACTGCAAAATAGCAAAACAGAAAGAAGTGCGAGAGCGCTTACGACATAGAGAATGTTGCTAAGAGAAATAAAAAATTGATTGATTTCATTGCAGACCACGATACTTGAACGACTTGAAGTTTAGAACTTCATAATGTTACCTCTTCCGCACAACGTGCGCACCGGCAGTCCTTGTATCCAGCAGTGATATTGCCGACAATTCTATCCCAGTTAATGCCCATCGATGACGACGAGCAATTAAATTAGCGCGGATTACGAAACGCCGATAGTGTGCGCGAAACGAACGAGAGTTGGCGAAACGATGAAGAGGGGAGAGAGTAAAGAGAGAAGGGGGGAGAAGCGAGGAAAAGGGTGAACAGGATATAAATTTAGGGCATGGCTAGAGCGGCACGATGTTTCAAACACATCTGTGTCGCGTGTGCGATCATTTTCATCTCCGTCTCTCTCTCTCTCCCTCTCTCTCTCCGTTTCTCCCTTTTCGCACACATGTTAATCCCCAAATAGCGAACGCCCGCCGTGCCAAACCCGAATCGACCTGACGCTCTCTATACCCGATTACAAATCTGACCAATTAGACGCACGCTGCGCCTGTCGGATTGGAATTGGCAAACGTTCTGAGGGCGCCAACATTGGCGCCTAAGCGTTGCGCGCTCTTCCTCTTAGATGATCACCACATCTCAGTCCAACGACTTTCATACCATCTCGCATTCTTTACAATATTTCTCACTCACTCCAATCAGAAATTGTAATTAATATTAAATGCAGTGTCTACAAGACTCCGACTTTGATAAAAAATGTAGCTAATTAACGATATTTTTACTGCAGCGCAATTTTGCTTTGATAGGAAAACATTAACAAAATTATGTAACAAAATCTTGCACTAAAATTAAAATTTGCAATTATACAGATATATTTTAGGAAATAGATGTAAAAACATTGATCTTTTATAAAATATTTGAAGTTGTTTACAAAATAACTTTCCAAATACTATTTCGGCAAAAGAATAACGATATGGCGAATCATCTTAACAGTATATTTGCAAAATTAATTGAAAAAAAAATTTGTCCAATAATTGAAAAAAAAATTTCAGCTACGTGATGTTTGAAATATGTAGAAATATAATTGCATATGAAGAAATCAACTTAATTTATGTATATACTTATGGAAATGCATAACGACTCTTTCGCAATTTTTGACAAATATTATTTACAAAACTTTATTTCGACAAAACTGTTGCGTTATGGCGAATCATC